CCAAATCTTGCCGTCCGACTCGACCCCCATTCCCCTTCCTGCAAGGTCAAGATCAATGGCCCTGTTTGGTATCTGGAAAAGGCGGCTGGCTTCACCAGAGCGCCCCCAACCTCCAACCCCCCCACCCCCCCCAGTCCCCCCACCCCCCCCAGTCCCCCCACCCCCCCCACCCCCCCCAATCCCCCCAACCCCCCCACCCCCCCACCCCTCGTGGCTTTTGGCCCAACGCATGGGAGTGGCCCCTTGCACTCCTCGCTCTCCGCGCTCCGCGTCGCAATGGAAGTTCTGTACATGCGATGGAACTGGGGTGTCCCAAAACTCAAATTTGAGAGTTGGTCGAAAAAGTCTTCACATGTTTACCCCGAAGTTGGCAGGCTCCAAGTCTTTGAGTGAGGTTTTTGGATAACCCAGGAGATCCCAGCCGGCATTTAATGCATGCCAAACAAACACATTGCATGCCTCTAAGCCCCCTTAGCCACATAGGTCAAACTCCCGTACCCCCAGTGAAAATCCCCCCCCACTACAATAGGTTCTAAAATGGGTGGTGCACCTACCCCAAAATGGGATCCCATTGGTTCTGACCCACAGCCACCATCTTGCCGTGCGTTTTTCGACTTGGGACACATCCAATTGGGAACTCATTCCCAGTCGCCCTCCCGCCCGCCGCTCATTGAAGGAGAACTGTGCGGGGCCAAACTTCTGAAACAAAAGCACCAGGCCTTTGGTAGCTTTCAAAAAACAAAATCACCGCCTTTTGTAGCTTTCAAAAGGAGAAAAGCAAACGTGGCTCGCCTTTTTGGCAGTTGTCAGCGTAGAAGCAACATCACGCTGATCAAACACTGGTGGAAAGGACACGTTTCGCTAAGCTCATGTCCAGCTGGATTGACCGCCATCAAGTCCGCGCTTGGCACTTTGCACACTCAGTTTGCCAGCATCATTTTATGCGGCAAAAAAAAGGCGTGAATTAAACATGCAGGGTTGCTTTTGCCTACGCGCTGCAATGTCTACCTGCTCTGTCTCACAGCGGCCTGCCATTGCATGCAACAAAGGGTATGCTTAAATAGTCGACGACCAGGAAGCCGAAGGTAAGGTGGGAAGTTCAGAGATGATCCCGTCCGATGTGTCTATTGGCTTCTCGAAGCAATGGTCACATGTGATCAAGGCCGTTCATCGCCAACCTCCCACCTCGCATACTTGGCTTAAAACAGAAAACAAATGTGACCCTTTGGCGGGCAGGCAGGGCGCAGGGGTCGCAATCGAGACCGCCTGAATGCCTGAATGCCCCCACGCAGTCTCACAGGGATCCTGCGACGGTAGGACGTGGAGAAGGATCACCGGGGCGCAAAAGCATGCACTCATTGACTCCTCGAAGTCATGCATGCAATAGCACCATAAATCGGTCGCATGGCTCTACTGACATGCTGACAAACATGCACTGTACAGATCATGCAAGCGCACGTGCCGCCCCACCCGCAGCAAAAGGGCGCGTTTTTCTGAAGCCTTTGGAAAACTGCTGTGCCCAGCAGGAAGGCGATGCCTGAGCGCCATTGACTCAGGGGAGCAACTCTTGCCCCTTGGAAACCCTTGGCCGAGCGATTCCTTCCGCAGGCAGCGCCCAAGATGCTACCGCTGATTCCCTCGCCGGCTCCTGTGCCGTATGGGCAAAATCGATGTAGACTTACACAGCTGTCAGCGTCTGTTCCACTGACTGGCCCCGAGTAGTTTCACAGCGAGCTGGCTGAACAGTCCCAAGCTTTCCAATTGTGCTTCTTGTGCTGGGAGATCGCAAGCAGGGAAGTATGCCTTTTTTGCGTGTGCACACTTGCTTCCGCTTGGTTTGCTTACAACACTAAGGGAAGCAAGCCTGGCTAGATTCACAAGGCCGTCGGTGCTGTTCAGCTGCTTGCTTTCGTGTACCTTGTGTACAACCCAGATGCAACACGGGCGGTCGCCCCATGACAGTCTGGGCCAGGCGCCCTCGGGCAATAGCATGACAAGCTATTGGCAACAAAAGCCTTTGAAAAGTAACAGTACCGTCAGTGGACGTGGAAAAAGGCACTTTTGCGTCGATTGTTTTTGCTAGAGGTGCCGTTAGGAACCCAGCAGCCAGGAGAAAACTTTCCGGTCAAGTTGCGTTCCCGTTGAAGTGATCTCACCATGGAGACATGTCAACATCCTTGGCAAAGTTGCGCTCCATTGAAAGCCTGATTTCAAGAGCTACGGAGCACGAGAATATATATGGATGCCTTGAGGCAAAAACATTCCTTTTGCATCTACTTTGGGCTATTCTCATTTAGCTGATATAAGCATGTTGTCACCGCTGAGCTCTGGGTGTTGGTTGATGCACGAGGGTCGCCCGTCCATGTCATGGCTACGGTCGCTGTGGGGCATGGCGCTGTTGCAGGATGATGCCGGGCCCTCATGCCAAAGTCTGGCATTACTCATCGTCACTGACTTGGGTTTGCCTCAAATATAGGGGACTCCAACAAACCATGATTTT